GTCGCGGAACCGTTTTTATAATAATGCCTCCTATTTTGCCCCCTTTTTGGCCTATTTCTTCACCTTTTTAGGAGGCCATCCCTCCTTTTGGTAATTTGTAAAGGGACACCCTGATAGACAGATAAAATGCAAAGACAGTTTTATTTATTTTAAACAGGTGAAAAATTGTTTTCCATGTATAAAGAGTATTTAATTGATAATACAAAGAAATCAATCCAAACAGAAAAATCTTATTTGATGGATTTAAATGCTTCAATAAATTTTTTTATAATTGAGATTGCAGCAATTTTAAACAAATTAAAATTAAATAAATTATTAGAAGAAGAAGAAATTAATAAATTAATGAATGAATGGAACATTATAGTATTGAATAATGAAAAACAAATGGAAATTGAAACTGATAGTCAATTGTTTTTATGTGAAATATATGTTTTTGCTAATGAGAATTTGTTTAAAAATAAATTAATTTATAATTTAAAATTAGAAGAAATTGAGAAATTGGTTTGTTTGTTTCTTGAAAAAATGAAATTATTACCCCCCCCCCCCGAAAACTATGATGTTTTTGGGAGCAGATAGTAATTTATTAATTATCAATTAGGAAACCTCCTAAAGATCGTGCCAAAAAGAGCTTTGGTCATATTTTGTCCAAAATAGTTCAATCAAAGCGTTGTTTGATCGTTTTTAGAAAAAAACCCAAAATTTTCAGAAATAATTTGATCAAAAAATGAACTAAATCTGGGTTTATGTAGATACTGAGTAACTGAAATTTTGTGGCTTTAGCGCCTCTTTTCTATTGGTTTCGGCTTCGGGTATTTTCAAAACATATCTCCGTCTCCTGCCGATTCCGACTACATAGATAGCTCCTTTAATTATTCTACTACATTTTTTTAAATTCATTTAAGGAACAAATAATGGAAATTGAAGAAAATGAAGATGAAAACTTAAAATGTACTCAGGATAATATTAAAATAATTTCCAAAAAATTATTTGAATCCCGACTTCCAAATGAAAATCATTTTTATTGTATTGATTGGTACTTAGAAAATTTAGAAATATTTCGTCAATTAATTTGTAATTCTGAAATTATTTTAATGAAAACATTTTTGGTTAATCTTGTCGACAAAGAAGGATTATTAGTATTAGAATTAAAACATCCGTCTGTTTTGCAAATTAGTTTGGTTTTTTTAATTTTTAAATTATAATTGAACTGTCAGAGGGAATAAAATTGTACCTTGATTGTATATAATTAAGGAATTAGAAACGTCCAAGCCTAGCAAGCCTAGCATCCTAGACTAGCAAGTAAAGCAAAAATGGGACTTTTGAGCGGTTAACAACCCTGTAGTGTTTCGCCGAAACCGCAAATTTGGCCGGAAGCGGAATTTTACAAACAAAGCGGAACTGGTACTTCCGGTGAAGCTCTACAATCATGCATTGGAGACTTTGAAACCTTGCAGAAGGACATTGCTAATTCGGCCGCTTTACTTTATCTTAAATTGAAGTGGATTATAAGACGTTTTTTCTATCATATAATGAGGCCCGATATATTAAATAAATATTTTTTAAATACATATATTTAAGATGAAATCCAAAAAGATGTCCAGATATATTTGTACAAAAATTTTCTTCAATTTAATGAAAATATCCCTGAATCTTTAATGGCAGAATTACGTATTGCCATACCTTTATTAATTAATGAAATTACAATTTATGAGAAATTTACAATTCCAATTCCAAAAGCAGAAAAGATTTATTTAGCAATTTTAGAAAGAATGAGATGGCTAAAAACAAAAATATTTAACAATATAACAGCACAAGGAGAGATTATCAATTCAGAAAATTTATGTCGCCTTTACAATTTTGTTAAATTCTCAAAGCCAATAATTAAATCTAAATTGGCAAGAATGGTACAATTAGAAGAAGGAATTAAAATTAATATAAAATATTTTGGAATAATTGATAAAAATACAAAAAATATAAAAATTAGTGCCAAAGAAATAAGTAAATGGACTGGGGATGGATGTTTAAATGAGGAAGAACAAAAAATAGCTTTTGAAGGGCAACGTTTATTACTTAAAGTTTGATATAATTTTAAATGAACAAATGATAATTAAAGCACTGGGCCAAAATCTTTTTGAGTTAACTTGAATCCAAACCCAATACCTTTATAATTGACTTGCTCAATCTTTGGTTGGCCAATACTAACCCGTACTTCATGGTTGATAACATTTGATCAACGAAGCCGTATCCACACTCATATCGATATTTCATTTCTCTAAACTTCACTTCTTGTTTGATCCACTCTTTTTTATCAACACCTTGTATAGGATCAAATAGTCCTATAACCGATTCGAAAAATTTTCCTAGTTAGATACATCTCGCTTTAAGGAATTTCTTTTAATTTGGTTCTTCATTAGTTAAGAGAGGTGTCTAAGCGATAAAAGATTTAAATTTTATCGTGTATTGAGGTTTGGCTCTAATAAAAAATTTATATTTTAATTTTTAATTAAGGAAGCACACAAAAAAATTTTTGAACAAAATTTCCTTGCTTTCAATAAAATATTAAACAAAAAAGGAAAAAAGTTTAGAATGAATAAATTACTTCCAGAATTTGTTTTGAAATTTGAAAATAAAAGTTTGGAGTGTTTTTAAAATAAATTTTTTAAAAATTTTTTTATAGTTTTTGAAAATCAAAAAGAACAAATTTCACATTTTATTAAAGCTTTATTTTCTTTAAATGAAATAGAAAGATTAGCTAATTTAATTGCTAATAATTTTTTTCAATGGAATAATTGGATGAAAAAACAAATTTTAACAAAATTTAATAAAAATAAAGAATATAATTTTTATAAAATTTGGTTTTCAGAAGAAACAATTTGGAGACTTTCAAATAAATATGATCAAATATTTGATATAACAGAGAAAGGAATGGAACAACTTGAAATTTTTGAACAAAAAATAATTAAAATACAAATGGGATTAAAATATTTATTAATTAACAAAGAAATTTTTGAAATTAAAAATTATGAAGGTAGTAGTAAGAAGGGATGGATCTCGAACCCAAACATTAAAGATTCAGCTTAGCCCCTTGACTTTACAACTCGCGAATTATCGGGATCCAAGCCTAATGATAACTGTTTGGCTAATGATAACATTTTCTTTTCCTTCTTTCCTTTTTTTTACCTTGAATTATAAATGGTCAAAGGTGCGTAAATTTATTTTAAAAAATCTGAAGAAAATAAAGAAATATTGAAATATTATCGAGGAAATTTTTAAGCAAATAACAGTTGAATTTAGTTGACATTAGTTTGTATGTTAAATTGATACGTTCTAAATATAGTGATAAACATTGATTGGAATATATTTTTAAAAAATCCAACAGACCCTTTCGATATTTTAAATATTTTAAAATATTTAACTACCATTATAAAATAAATTTAATTCTTCACCATTATGCACCTTTAATCATTTGTAGAAAAGGAAGGAAACGATAAAGAAAATGAGGGGCGGGTAACTGAAAAGTAACTACTAAAATAATTTAGAAATTAATGAAAAATGGAAAAAAATTGAAGAAAATAAGGAGGATAATTGGAATAAAAAATGGAATGAATTATTATTTTCAGAATATAATGAATGGATTAAAAAATTAAATATGAAATGGTTATTAAATAAATTAAATAAAAAATCTGATAAAGAAGAAATACAAATTTTGAAAAATATTTTATATAATTGTAAAGTTTATTTTTTAAATTAAAAAATATTTTTAGTCAAATTATTTTTTACAGAAGCGTAAACGGTGTCCTGATTAGCCCGTACCCTTGATTAATCGTTAATTTTATTATAATGGTTAAAAGCTTGTCTGAGATCTGAAAAATAGTGAAATCAAGAATTTCTCATTGAACTGAATCAAAATTTACGAGATATAATTAATTATTCCCTCGATAGAGAAGATAGTTAATATTGAAAGGGAATTATCCTATAGATTATTTTAAATGAAAATAAAAATAAATCCTTCAATTACAGATCTGAAAAACAAAGAAACTGAAGAGATTAATCAATTTCTGAAAAAAATAGTTGTGTTTACTCAGTTGGAATATGAGGGTTTGATGGTTTGTTTGGGAGTAAAAGAGAATACAGAAAATAAAATTGAAGAGGAGGAAGAAGAAAATAAAAATAAATTAAAAATAAATGAAGAAAAAATAATAAAAAATAAAAAGAAGAAAAATAAATTAATTAAAATAAAATCTACAAATCGAAAAAATAAAAAGGATAAAGCTAACAAGAAAATAAATACAGCCTTTATTTATAAAAATTTTAACAAAAATAAAATTGAAGAGGAAAGGGGGGAAGAAGATGTGGAAGGAGAACAAGAAAACATAGAAGAGGAGGAAGAAGAGGAAGGAAGTAAAAATTATTTAACGGAAGTATCTGAGAATGAATCAACAGAAAATAGCAATTCAATCATTTCTACTAATTTATTTAGTACTGAAAGTAATTCTAATAGTGAAGTTGAAGAAAAGGTTGATGAAATCAAGGATAAAGAGAAGGTAAAGGATATTAATAGTAGTAGATCATGATTTTTTCAATGTCAGATTTGGTAGGATTCAGGGATTTTTGGAATTAGACTTGGGATACATGCCTCTTTTAAATTACCTGATATATATTTTAATAAAAATTATTTAAAAATAAAATTAAGAAAAATCGAAAAATATATTTATATTTTTAGGACTCATTCAAAAATAAAATAGAAATTAATGATTGGCTGGAGTCAGTCAATTTGGCAATATTTGGCTATGATTTAAACCGAAATATTAACACACAATATTTAAAGATGGAAAGTAGTAGCTATTCTCAAGAATCTTTTGATTATGTTACTAAATCGGTAATTTAAAAATAATTATCGGGAATTTTTGAGGATTTTTTAGAGAAATATCTGAAAGAATAATAATTTTTTCTAATTTTTTAATCTTTAGTTGAATGAAGTGATTAATAATGAACAGTATATGTTTGAGAAACAAAATAAAAAATTGGATTCTATAAACAATGCAATAAATTATTTAAAACAAATTTTAAATAAATGGGTAAATTTAAATTAAAAAATAATAATTATTATTTAATTTTTAAAAAAAGGATAAAGATTCTCGTTTAATTATTTCTGGTTCACTTTTATTAAATGCTCAGATTTTTGATTCAGACATTGATTGCCTTGTTGTTTTACCTAATAAACAAATAGAAATTAATAATTTGGAAATTATTTTTGAAGAAAAATTTTTTGGAAAAATTTCTAATAAATGTAACATTAAATTAAGAAAATGTGAGGAAGAAGAAAATAATAATAATTCACTTTATTGTTTACTTTGTAAAGTAAGTTAAAATTCTTTTAAATTGTAATTATTAGGGCGTTCGGATTTTTATAGGTTGATTTAGTAGTATGTAAGGGTTAATTTAATGTAGTCGATAGAGGGCTCATTAGCTTGTTCTTAACTAGAGCTGATTCTGCAATGCTCGGAGCCGGGGCAAGGCTGTCCATAATTGAAAGAAATTTTCCACAGCGAAATCCGCAGTTCGCAAGTCATAAAATTCGCAATCCAGAGCCCGCAATCTGGAGATATAGAGAATCTTGAAAGGGTGGTTCTGAGGGATATCAGTTTGGAGGAATATTGAGGATCGGGGATTTGAAGAGATTAACTAACGACGACATCGACGACGTTTGTCGACGTTGATTTAAAATGCATATTCCTTACCCTAGCAGAAATTTTTGCTTCTATATTTTTTTAAATTATTTTCCTCTCACTAATTTTATTTTTAAAAGGATGTCAGAATTCAATTTATCAAAAAAATTCCTGGTCGAGTACCTTTAATTAAAATTAATTTTCTTGGTTATGATTTTGATTTAATTTTTATTTTATTTTCACTAAATTTATTTAACCAATTTAATTCAATTTATCAAAATAATAAACAACCAAAAATAAATGAAATTGATGATATTATTGCAAAATTTGTTTTTGAATTGGGGGGACCTGAAGAAATAAATAATGGAAATAATAAACATTTTGGAATGGTTTTGGCACTTTCTGGTTATTTTTTTGTTGAAATTTTCTGTTTAAATATTTATTTATTTAAAGGTTATCGTTCAAATGTACAAATAAATTTAATGACAGAATACAACAAACATTCATTCCGTTTAGCATTATTAACACTTAAAGTTTGGGCAAAAAGTAAGTTAAATAAAAATTTTGTTGGTTAGAAGAATGTTTTATTATTGAAAAAAGTTATTCTAAATTTATGAGAATTTATTTTAAAATCACTAAAAATCTTGGGAGTATAGGAAGAGAGGCAAAAGTTTAATAACAGGTCAGGCACTGATTCTGTGACCTCCTAGCAGTTATTTTTATGCGCCTACACCGACTTTCATCTTCCTTTTTAATTATCTGGATCTCCCTTTTTCCTTAATTATTTAAAAAACCTTAAAAATCAGATAATGTTCAGAAATAAAATCGCCTGACTTTTGAGTTATCGTTCATTCCCCTGAAGCTCCCCCCCTCCTCTTCCTCCAACCCCTAAAAATAATCTCTCAATGTCTTTTAGATAATTACATTTATGGAACACAATATGGCTTCTTTGGAGGTCCAGCTTTGTCAATAATTCTTTGTTATATTTTAAATTTATATGGCAATAATGTTCCTCCTCCAATTTTTATTTTATTAAAAAATACTTTAGAATTATTTACTTTTAGGTAATTTTTAAATAAATTAAAAAATTATAATTTTTTTTAAATTAAAAAAAAGATTTTGGAATTCACCATTAATGTTAGAAATTCCTCAAAATTATTTAAATATTCGAAATTTGTTAGATTGGAATTTAAATAAAGAAGCAGAAAATCGTTTAAAATTAATTCCAACAAATTTACGTAATTATTTAATTAAACATTCACAAATTATTTGGCCAATTATAACCCCTGGTTTTCCTACACAAAATGTTTTGTTTAATATTAATGATTCTACTTCACAAATAATAGAGAGGGAAGTAAATAAAGGATTACAAAAATTGGTGATTTTACAAGATAACATTAATCAAAATAAACCTTTATGGACAGTTAAAAATCTTTGTGGAAATTTTTTGAGAAAAGAAGAAAAGTTTGAAGAAAAGGTTTCTTTAATTTTTTGTCAAAAGAAGGTTATAGCTTTGATTTAAGATTGTTAGCGGACATATGTTCCGTGAGGATGTATATTAGTTTTTTTGGGCTTTTACCGTTTGTTTTATGTTCCGTAATACTTCTGTTTTTATGCATAGTCTGATAGATTATTTTTAAAACTTTGGTTCACTATAGACTATTTTTAACGATTTGGAATCCTTCCAAGAAATTTGTTAAGCTACAGCAAATACCTAACCAGAATTTATATAAGCAGGCAAATTTAACGGATTGTCTCTGACCCAAAAATGTTAGGGTTTAAAGTAGAGTTGCACGAGATCGATATCTCGACCGAGACCGAGACGAGAATCTCGGCCATTTTCCAATCTCGGTCTCGGTTTTGCCGAGACCGAGACCACCTAACCGAGACGAGATTCTCGGCACTTAATCTCGCCGAGATCCGAGATCAGTATACACCCCTAAAGATTGACCTTCTTGAGATTTATTTTTATTTTGACAAAATATTTAAAATTTCGCTGTTGGTATATTGTTGTGCTCACTTTAATTTAGTTGTCTAGAGAGCGGAGCAGGACAAATAAGCGCGGCCGAATACACATCAATCTTTGCGGAAAAAAGTTTTTGCCGCTGCGGGGGAAACCGGGCATGTCGAGCGGAACGACGGCCGCCGCTTCGCTACGGTCGCCGCGACCATTCCTTACCTAGGACCATTCCTTACCCTATTCTTCGAAATTTCTTAAGGTTATAATCTTTTTCTGAAATTTTTAAAAGTCGGCTATAACTTTCAGAAATTTCGAGCAATAGGGTACGGAATGGTCCCAGATCAAGTGGACGTAGGTCCCGAACATGAAGAACTATTACGGAACCCAACCCCAACCTTGAACACGAAGAAAAATCCAAAATTTGGGGTTTCAGTCCCCAATTCTGGCCAAATTCCATTTGGACAAGAATGTAATTTGGACGGTGACATATATACACCGTATTTCTTCTAATAGTGCGACCGTCTCTAATAGACCGACCCCTTCTAATAAACCGACCCCGTAGAGGAAGGTTGAAAAATAAACCGACTGTCTCTATCAGACCGACCCCTTCTAATTAACAAGTGTCCCCTACCCTTTATACTTAATTCTTTCTGGAGAAATGGTGGAAAAAATTCTAGTTGTAATGGCAAATATGGATAAACTGTTGCTTGGTCCACCAACTGAAATTGATTCTGATGAAACAGATGATCTTGATGATGATTTAGATGATATTTAATTAATTTAAATGGGGTTTGGTGGATAAAAAAAGTTTTGAAAAATCTCGGTTTATCTCGGATCTCGATATCGGTCTCGGGTCAAATTTTGCATCTCGGTCTCGGTCTCGGTCATGCGGGTCTCGGTCAATCTCGGTCTCGGATTTTTTCTAAAATCTCGATCTCGTGCAACTCTAGTTTAAAGACTAATTAATCAAATTTTAAGTACAAGCATTATTTGTATATTGTGTGCAGTTATTCAAATAAAAGTGAATATGGTGTTGATTTTTGTGATTTTGTTGGAACTAGAATTAGATTACAATTATTATTTTCTATAGAAATATTGCCGTTTATTTCTTTTTGTCATTTAAACCCAAAAAAATTAAAAAAAGAAAATGAAAAATGTTTTTTAAAAGAAGAAGAAGGAAATAATTATTGTACAATTTGGTTAGTAGGGATTTCAACAAAACAATGGTATAAACAAAAATTTGAAGGAAATGATTGGGAAAATGCTTTAAAAGATTTTGTATATTATATTGAACATTCTGGTTTTAGAAAAAAATATCCAGAAATTTCAGCAAAAGAAGGGGGGAATTTATTTTATTTAAAGGTTTTGTATTTAACAAGTGAACAAGTAAAGAATAAATGGAATTTTTGAAAGAATTAATTTGTAAAAATAATTTTATAATCAGATTTTTGTAAAAAAATTCTGAAACACCGCAAAATAAATTGTAAACTTATAAAATAATAAATTGTAAATTGAAAAATATTTTTTAATTAAAATGCTATTGTAAGGATGATTCACCCAGCAGCATTTAAAACGCTTAGGCGGGGGTTAAACGATCTAAAAAGGAAAAAGAGAAAGCATTAGTCGATGCCCCGGTAGCTCAGAGGTAGAGCTCCTTCATATAGCGACCGAAAGCGGGAGGTCGCAGGTTCGAATCCTGCCCAGTGGCTAAACTTTTGCAAAAGCTTTTCTCTATTTAAAAATGCTGCATATTTAATTCCTAAGGCCATGCAGACTATTTATTTTTCTATTTATCTATTGAAGATACTTGAATTAAATTAACGGAGGTGGTTCGTTCCCAACCGCCGAATAACCTTCTGTACGAGCCGAAGGAGAAATAGCTACAGCCCAGCTCTGATTTGCTAAATAATGGAAATTTTAATTCCAAAATATTTTTATATTTTTTAATTTCAATAAATATTTTCTTTTGTTTTTTTTCGATTTTATGTTTTTTCTATCTAATTCTCTAATAGAAGCACACCACTAATATATAAGCACACCCTACGAGAGGATCGAAAAATAGAAGCACTGTGCTTCAATTGGGGAATTTACGGTATTCATTAATCAACATTTAAACCAATAGAAAAATGTTTTAAATATTTTTTGTTCTGAATATTTTTAAAGTAAATAAAAGTAAATTAGGAAATCGAATTTTTTAAATGAATTAGGGCCCAACCCTAACGCTTTTAGTTTTCGATCAAGCAATTTTTTGCTTATCTTTTACAGTGTATTTTTGCAAGAATATCGTGTAAAGCAAAATCCAACATATACATTTAAATTATAAAAGTATTTAAATGTGTCTTTATTTAAAAATGTTTAAGAAAACTTGTAATAGAGCTTTATCCTGTAGAAAAATTTAATTTCATAACAATAAAGAAGGTTTAAAGTTTTTTGCAATGCTTAGCACTAAAATCAAAACGCTCTTTATAAGATTTCCTCATCGAAATGAATTTAAAAAATAGCTGAATTATGGCATGAAGGAAAATTAACTAAACCATCCTTTGGCCCAATTCCAAGCACACTTAATTTTTTTTTTTTTTTTCTTTATCGAACACAAATAAATAAATGTGAAACAATAAAATAAAACTCCTGGATCCACAAGGATCACTTATGGAGAGGTAACATATAAAAAAAATCAAATACAATACAATTATACAGTTAAAAGAAAATTTTAGTTAAAAAAAAATTAAATAAATGGACTCCACAGAAACAAAACTAAATGTAAATTAAATAAATAAAAGTGGATATCATAAAAATATATATGTAATTACGGTAAAAAAATATTTGTATCAAAATTAATTTACTATTTAAAGATAAGTATGTTTAATAAAGAAAGTGAACCTTTAGACAAGGATTTTATTATTTTTTTTTGTTTTTTTATTATTACACTCCATTAATTCGTTACTCATAAATTAGGGTCTTCTGTGATTAATATATTGTCTAAAAATTTTTTAAATTGAGGAATGGTATTGATTTTTTCGATTTCATTTTTTGGAAGTTTATTCCACCTATCTGTCACTCTATGTGAAAAGAAATGGTTATTCTGAGCTTGTTTCTTAAATATTTGATATCTATGCAAGCGCGGATTATTTCTATTAGGTTTAGAGAACATTTGTTCTGGTTTTATTTTATAGAAACCCTTTATTATTTTGAAGGTTGTCATAAGATCTGTTCTTATACGACGGATATTAGTTGGGGGAAGACTGCATCTTTTTAGTCTATCGGTGTATTCTATTTTTTGGTATTTGAATTTATATCTTAGAACTTTTCTTGTAAAGCTTCTTTGTGGTTTCTCTAATTGTTTGTTGAGATATTCTAGTTTAGGGCTAAAACTTTCAGTGGAATACTCCATAATTGGTCTTACGTATGTTTTGAATGCTTTTACATATGTTTCTATTGGTAATGTTTTGGGTAATATTCTTAGAATATTATTTAGCCTTATAAATGAGGACTTAGTAATTTTTGCTACATGTTGATCAAATTTAAGTTTGTTATCAATATATATACCTAGGTCTCTTATATTATTAACTTCCTCGATTTTTTCCCCATTTATGGCATAATTAAACTTAATTTTGTTGTATATTTTTAGAACCTTTACTTTTGTGATAGAGAATTTAAGTTTATTCTTTTCAGCCCATAGACATGCATTGTCTATAGCCTCCTGTAATTGTATACAGTCATTTTCTGTCTTGATTTCTGAGTATAGCTTAAAATCATCTGCATATAGTTTTACTTTTATATTTGTCGGAATGTTTTTGGGTAGGTCATTTATAAATATTAAGAACAATAATGGTCCCAACACCGTCCCTTGTGGGACACCTGTTTTTGGCAGAAATGGTTCAGAAAAATGTTCACCTATTTTTACAGTATGAGATCGATTTGTGAGAAAATTTGCTATCCATCTAATTGTTAACCTATCTATTTTTATTTCACATAATTTTCTTATAAGTATTTCGTGATCTACACTATCAAAGGCTTTTTCAAAATCAAAATAAATGACGTCTGTGCCTAACTTCCTATCAAGTGAGTTGTACCAATCTTGCATTGATGATAAAAGTTGGAGTGTACAAGAGCTTTTAGGTAAAAACCCAAATTGCTCTTCAGCTATTATTTTATGCTTGTTAAGGTGTTCTAATATGTTATTCGCTATCAGACGCTCAAAAATTCTACAGATTGGGGATGTTAATGCGATTGGTCTATAATTTTTAGGATCGTTTAAGGAACCCTTCTTTTTATATATAGGCAGAATGTGTGCTTTTTTCCATAATTCAGGAACAGTTCCGGTTTTAAACGTATTGTTATATAAGATTGAGAGTGGGAGAGCCAAGGGGGTAGCACATTTTTTTATAAAATATTGATTGATATTCTCAGGGCTATGGGATAATTTATTTGGGAGCTTTTTTAATAATTTTTCTATTATATATGGTTCGAAAATATTTTCTCCTTGATATTCATCCCCAGATTTGAGGCTCGCTTGTTTATTTTTTCTATCTCCACTAACTATTTCGTCAAAAATTTCTCTAAATTTATTTGCTTTGTCTGTGTCAGATGTTATTGGGTCACTTTCTTCAGATTCCTTAAGTATAGGTATACTAGAGAAGTTAAAACGATTTTTCTTTATTAGTTTATGTATTTCCCTTATATGCCCAGATCCTATCTTCTTAGACAGATAATTGTTTTTATGTTTCTCTATTTGTAATTTACATTTGATTTCAAGGCTTTTATAGGTATCTTTACTAATTGCACCTAATTTCAGCTTTTTCCATGCAACAGCCTTTTGTTGGATGATTTCTCTAATTTCCTTAGGGTATTTCATGGGTATTTTTTCGCTAAATTTTTTAGATGGGATAAATTTTTGGATTGTTTGGGTTATTATGGAATTTAATATGTCAGCTATTTCCGAGGGATTTTTGTTATTGAATATATTGTACCAATCATATTGAGCTAAATACCAATTTATTATTTTATATTTTCCTTTCTTAAATAATAATACTTTTCTTTTCTCTTTAGATTTTACTTTTTCGATAGGAAAATTTACTTCAAATACTATAGGTTTATGGTCACTCACAACTAAGTCATCTATAATTTTATATTTTTCGATTAATTGCCTATTTTGAAGAATTAAGTCTAGAGTATGGGAAGTATTGTACATTGTTGATTCCCTTATAACCTGATTTAAATTTAGTTTATTTATTGTATTATAAAAATATAAGCTCTGTTTATCTTTTGGAAGTGTAAAATCATGCCAATTTATTTTTGGAAGGTTTAAATCCCCTAATATAATATTTGAAAGTTCATTTTTGTACTTTTTCTTTATTATTCCCCAAAATTTTTTATCGTCTGTTAATTTTGTATTTGGCGGTCTATATATTAAGTGGAATCTAATCCTTTTAAATTCAGAATATATATCAAGGGTAAGAAGCTCATGACTAAATTCGGAGATTGAAAGAGTTGGAACATATGTAATTTTTAATTCCTTTTTATAAACTACGCCTACGCCGCCTCCTCTTGATTTTGCTCTATCTACTCTTAATAAATTATAATTTTCAGAAATAATGAGGGATTCGGTAGATATTTTATCAGTTAACCATGTTTCAGCTAGAAACGCTACATGAATATCGTTTTTAATTAAATAATTTTCTAGTTCAACTAATTTATATGCGACTTTTTCAGAATTAATGGAGCGTATATTTAAGAGTAAACAATTTAAATTTTTTATTTTTCTGTTATTTTCTTGAGTATTTTTCTGTGAGGTCCTTAAATCCTAGTCCAAGTTCACTTGCTTTTTATAATAAATTTTAAGATTACGGTAACAAGCTGTGCCATTTCCATGTTTTGCATTAATTTCTTTAACCTGTTGTTTGAGGTAATTTTGTAGTTGTAGTTCAGGTGGGGTTAAGTCCCTTCTTGCGAAAGGACTATGCCCACCTAAGGTAGGTTTGTGTATTGTTCTATATTGATTAATAAATGAATGTGCGGCAGCTGGAGTCGAAAATTTAACTTTGATGATTCGATGATAATTGTTTTGCTTCTTGATCCCGTGTCGTTTAACTTCGAAATTTTTTGCTTCCTTAAAGTTTTTGTTGTTTATTACTATTTGAACATTTCTTTCTATGTTCTTTAAGTCTTCTTCCTCATTTTCCAATTCTGGAAATCTTTCAATGACTGCGTAAAAACTCTTCTTTTTATAAAGTTCTTTCAAATTTTCATCAAATACGGGCTGTTGAAGATGTTCAATTGTCATTGCAGCTTGTTTAATTTTTGGTGGCATTAAGTTTGGGGGGCAACCCCATCGAGAAGACCCCTAAAGATTGACCTTCTTGAGATTTATTTTTATTTTGACAAAATATTTAAAATTTCGCTGTTGGTATATTGTTGTGCTCACTTTAATTTAGTTGTCTAGAGAGCGGAGCAGGACAAATAAGCGCGGCCGAATACACATCAATCTTTGCGGAAAAAAGTTTTTGCCGCTGCGGGGGAAACCGGGCATGTCGAGCGGAACGACGGCCGCCGCTTCGCTACGGTCGCCGCGACCATTCCTTACCTAGGACCATTCCTTACCCTATTCTTCGAAATTTCTTAAGGTTATAATCTTTTTCTGAAATTTTTAAAAGTCGGCTATAACTTTCAGAAATTTCGAGCAATAGGGTACGGAATGGTCCCAGATCAAGTGGACGTAGGTCCCGAACATGAAGAACTATTACGGAACCCAACCCCAACCTTGAACACGAAGAAAAATCCAAAATTTGGGGTTTCAGTCCCCAATTCTGGCCAAATTCCATTTGGACAAGAATGTAATTTGGACGGTGACATATATACACCGTATTTCTTCTAATAGTGCGACCGTCTCTAATAGACCGACCCCTTCTAATAAACCGACCCCGTAGAGGAAGGTTGAAAAATAAACCGACTGTCTCTATCAGACCGACCCCTTCTAATTAACAAGTGTCCCCTACCCTTTATACTTAATTCTTTCTGGAGAAATGGTGGAAAAAATTCTAGTTGTAATGGCAAATATGGATAAACTGTTGCTTGGTCCACCAACTGAAATTGATTCTGATGAAACAGATGATCTTGATGATGATTTAGATGATATTTAATTAATTTAAATGGGGTTTGGTGGATAAAAAAAGTTTTGAAAAATCTCGGTTTATCTCGGATCTCGATATCGGTCTCGGGTCAAATTTTGCATCTCGGTCTCGGTCTCGGTCATGCGGGTCTCGGTCAATCTCGGTCTCGGATTTTTTCTAAAATCTCGATCTCGTGCAACTCTAGTTTAAAGACTAATTAATCAAATTTTAAGTACAAGCATTATTTGTATATTGTGTGCAGTTATTCAAATAAAAGTGAATATGGTGTTGATTTTTGTGATTTTGTTGGAACTAGAATTAGATTACAATTATTATTTTCTATAGAAATATTGCCGTTTATTTCTTTTTGTCATTTAAACCCAAAAAAATTAAAAAAAGAAAATGAAAAATGTTTTTTAAAAGAAGAAGAAGGAAATAATTATTGTACAATTTGGTTAGTAGGGATTTCAACAAAACAATGGTATAAACAAAAATTTGAAGGAAATGATTGGGAAAATGCTTTAAAAGATTTTGTATATTATATTGAACATTCTGGTTTTAGAAAAAAATATCCAGAAATTTCAGCAAAAGAAGGGGGGAATTTATTTTATTTAAAGGTTTTGTATTTAACAAGTGAACAAGTAAAGAATAAATGGAATTTTTGAAAGAATTAATTTGTAAAAATAATTTTATAATCAGATTTTTGTAAAAAAATTCTGAAACACCGCAAAATAAATTGTAAACTTATAAAATAATAAATTGTAAATTGAAAAATATTTTTTAATTAAAATGCTATTGTAAGGATGATTCACCCAGCAGCATTTAAAACGCTTAGGCGGGGGTTAAACGATCTAAAAAGGAAAAAGAGAAAGCATTAGTCGATGCCCCGGTAGCTCAGAGGTAGAGCTCCTTCATATAGCGACCGAAAGCGGGAGGTCGCAGGTTCGAATCCTGCCCAGTGGCTAAACTTTTGCAAAAGCTTTTCTCTATTTAAAAATGCTGCATATTTAATTCCTAAGGCCATGCAGACTATTTATTTTTCTATTTATCTATTGAAGATACTTGAATTAAATTAACGGAGGTGGTTCGTTCCCAACCGCCGAATAACCTTCTGTACGAGCCGAAGGAGAAATAGCTACAGCCCAGCTCTGATTTGCTAAATAATGGAAATTTTAATTCCAAAATATTTTTATATTTTTTAATTTCAATAAATATTTTCTTTTGTTTTTTTTCGATTTTATGTTTTTTCTATCTAATTCTCTAATAGAAGCACACCACTAATATATAAGCACACCCTACGAGAGGATCGAAAAATAGAAGCACTGTGCTTCAATTGGGGAATTTACGGTATTCATTAATCAACATTTAAACCAATAGAAAAATGTTTTAAATATTTTTTGTTCTGAATATTTTTAAAGTAAATAAAAGTAAATTAGGAAATCGAATTTTTTAAATGAATTAGGGCCCAACCCTAACGCTTTTAGTTTTCGATCAAGCAATTTTTTGCTTATCTTTTACAGTGTATTTTTGCAAGAATATCGTGTAAAGCAAAATCCAACATATACATTTAAATTATAAAAGTATTTAAATGTGTCTTTATTTAAAAATGTTTAAGAAAACTTGTAATAGAGCTTTATCCTGTAGAAAAATTTAATTTCATAACAATAAAGAAGGTTTAAAGTTTTTTGCAATGCTTAGCACTAAAATCAAAACGCTCTTTATAAGATTTCCTCATCGAAATGAATTTAAAAAATAGCTGAATTATGGCATGAAGGAAAATTAACTAAACCATCCTTTGGCCCAATTCCAAGCACACTTAATGCCTTCCTTGGCTTTATTGCAATAATTGGAAGCTGCTTTTTTAACTTCATTAAGACTAGAAGCAATGACATTGCAAACAACTTCTATTGCTTTACATGCAGAAATAACAGCTTCACAAGTTTTAACAACAACATGAGAAGCGTAAATAACGGATCCGGCCACAGCACCAGTCACAGCACCAACCACACCCCCAACAAGAGCACCTGCGCGCCCTGCGACTGCATATCCAACACCGACACCAACAGCCGCCCCAGCAATTGTTGAACCGATAACTATGCTTCTAAAACTTCTGGAATGATTTTGTGGGCCGTAATTGAAATCATTGTTGCTTCCAGATTGGGCTGAAAATTAAACATCAGAACTTCTAGAAACTATTTATTTTTAAATTTTTTGTCGGAAAAAATACTATTTTAAATCAGAAAATTATAACAAATTTATAATAAATTTTAAAGATTTATCTGTCGATAACGCTAAACCATATACCTGTATTTCTAGGAATATCATTGGATCTAGTTTCTTCATTAAGATTTGGTTCATCATTTGAAGACACATTCGGATCTAGAAATAAAATATTTTACTAGATAGAAATTTTTTAAGAAAAAATAAAATGTTTTTTTAAGAATTGAATTTAAACAAGTTTTTACCCCGGATAAATTAAAATCTCTGATACAATATACACTCTTTTAACTATATAGAATGAATTCCAATTAAATTTTGTATTAAATCGCAATTTTATTATCCATTTTTACCTTCTTCCTTTTTTGGCATCCTGTGCCGAGTTCTTTGTTTCATCCCCATAAAAAGGGTTTCTCTGCTGAAAGTTCTCTCAAAATAATTATAATACTTCTTGAATGTATCACTAATATAGTCTTTACAATTTTTACCAGCATCGACCATTTTATTTAAAAGTCCAGGCTGATTCTTTTCTAAAAAGATTAAAACAGAAAATAGCTATTTCCGATAAAAAAAATACACAGAACCAACCCTAGCCTAAAATCTTTCGATTTTAGGCCAGGTTTCCGTAATTTTTTTCCGTATATTTTTGAACGTTCTTTGCTTACTAAAAATTTCATTTTCAATAGTTGTTATTATACGAAAAACTTTTTCCTGATGCTTACTTTCCCTGATACGGAAAATATCTTATCCTTTCTGATAGGAGAAAGATACTCGGCAATCACTATTTATTTTTTACCTTGTTCCATTTTATCAATTTTAGCACCCTTAATGTTTAATCTTTCTTGATTTTGCTGGGTAAATTCTTCATCGTCTTCTATTTTCTTTTCATCTGCTTTAGCAGACTTAAGTAATTCATCCGCTTCATTTAATTTAGCTTTCAGATTTAGATCATTCAAATTCTGGAATTTAAATAAATTTTGAAATGTAACTTTCAGTTTTATTTTTAAAAATTTTTGGGGGCTAAGAAATAAAAATTTTAATTTAATCTGTAAATAAAGGATAAATTTTGCCGTGAGATTTAAAACATCTCATGTTGACCCGGTGATTCTTATTCGTAAGGAAGAATTAGTTTGGCTTATAATAATAGATAACCCGGAAATTTTCGGGTCTAAGATTTTTCGGTTATTATAAGAACCTGTAAATTTATTAAACTTTACCTTATCTATCAAAATATTTCCTGCTTTTTCTTGAATTCCTAGATCTATTATTGGAACATTTTCTCTATGTTGAGAATTGTTTACTTCATCATAAATTTGTTTCGACGTTCCTTGCTCATAAAAAAATCTCATTTTCAATAGTTGTTGTTTTACGAAAAAGTTTTTCCTGATGATTAACACAATCGTTTTCTATTTTCCTTAAACTATCCGTTATATTTCTGATTTCAGGCTTTGATTGTTTAGTTGGCTCTGGTTGTTTTTCAGGCTCTGGTTGTTTAGTTGAATCATTTTCTCGATTCTCGAGATATTCATCACCTCCAGCTTAAATTCAAATTTATATTTTAATAACTTATAACTCTAGTATAATTTCAAAATAAGAATAGTCGAATAACAATTGTATGACATCCCTCTTGTATGAAACACTCACATTATTGGCAATTTTTCATTTCGTTGGACATGGGAGGAAGGGGTAAAGGGGTCTTGGGTTTAAGGGGTAAAGTATGGCATCCTCTATACGAGGGATCAGGCCCGTAGCCAGGATTTTTTTCGCGGGGGGGGGGGCAAGGGGGGCCAAAAATTTTTGATTTTCAACGCCGCAGGCGAAAATTTTGAGAACCCCCCCCCCTCACCCCCTGGCTACGGACTTGCGAAGGATGCACTACATTACTTAATGTTTGACCAATTCAACATGTTAATGCAAAGTTAAACTTATAAATTTAGTAAAAAGTATAAAATTCACCGGAAAAATCCAAATGTACACTTGTTCTTTCAATAAGAAGTTCCTTAGCACCCTGAGCAACTTTGCAAACATATCTCCACAAAGAAGATTTATTTTTGTCAGCCAATTTTTTTAATTTTTCATAGTATTCTGCATTTTGTCTTAACTGAAAATAACGTTCTTCTTGAACTATAGCCTTTCTAATATCATTATTTGTAGTAATTTGATCAAGTTCTGACATTTTGCTTTCAAATAATAGTTGGTCATCATTTTCTTAATACAGTATTGTAGATATTTTACGATACCCTTCCTCATATTTCCCTTACCATTCTGAGCAGAAGAGCTTGTTTTTGAAGATATTTTTTCCTGGCTTAATAGTTCTTCCCGATGCTTAAAATTATCATTTCCAATGTTGCTTAATCTCTCCAATACATTTTCAATTTCTTCCTCTGGTTGATTAGTTGCATCATTTTCTCGATTCTCGACATTCTCACCATGCCCATCATTTTCCTCATAATTGTATCCTTCAATTTATTTAATAACTTATATTTTAATAAAGAAATAAAATCCTATCAGAAGTGTCCAAATATTCACTCGTTTTTTCAAAAAATCCTTCTTTAACTTGCCCAGCTACTTTCCACAAAGTTCCCCAAATAGTAGATTTTTTATTTCCCTCATCCAATTTCCTTTCCCTTTCATGGAGCTCTGACATTTCTTTTTCTATAATATTGCGTAGCTCATCATTTTCAGCCTGTGTAATCACACTATTTGTACGTTTTTGATAATATTCTGTTAATTTTCTTTCATTCTTCAATTTTTGATCTTCATAATCTTAATACATTTTTTAACACGTTATTATACTATATGACTCCGCCTAATTCCCGTCTCAACACAAAAATTATGCGCTAACCGGAATAGAGTCTTGGACATATTCAAACCCAAAAAATTAATCTAAACCCTCGGTTTTATTAGAAAATCTCGATCTCTCCCCATTCTATTTACTTATGATGTCGCAAATAATTTTTATGAACTACATATTTATAAAAGATCCACAATAAGATAAAACCAAAAACTTATGAGTTAACTGCAATATAAAATTTAATTTCTACCATTATCTAGTCCAGCCATAAATTCAGAAAAATAAATTTCTGTAAAATTTCAGTAATTTAAATATAGGTAGATTAAATATAAAATTTAGTAGTTAGTTAATTAATTTAGAATTTTAAAAAATGTAAGAAGGAACGGAATGAAATTGAAAAGCGTAAGAAAAAGAGTGAAAGAATCAACATCCCTAGTGTGAATCAGGTCGGGTTTCAGGTCGGATTTTAGGAAATTTCTCATGTTGGATTTCGGGTTTCGTTCGAAAAAAGTCCGGGGCTCGTGTGACATCCCTGGTGTGGGCTCCTCAATAAGATGAACCAAATTCTATGTTTGTTTAGATCAATTTAGGATATGCTTATTAAATTTTTTGGTAGTGAAACTTTAAAATCGTTAGGGTTTTTATGATTTTTTGGAAAACTTATATTATTATTTTACAAAAAATTAAACTCTAATAATAGATAGAGATGACTAAGTTTATTCGTTTTATACATAAATTGAAAGTAGAAATGGATAAACAGAAACAAATGTTTAAAAAAATCTTTTGTTTAATCCAAAATAAACACTTCAGTCAATTATTCCAAAATATATATTTCAGCAATGAATTATGTTTATCTGTCAATTAATTTGGAAGAAATAGTTTAGTTCGGGAAAGGCTAAAAATAGAAAAAAAACTTTTTGAAAAAATGTAACATATACTTTTCAAAGGGACTAAATCGGGCAAAAAATAGTTAAGTTAATTTTGAAAATAATTTTTTGAAAATAATCACACATTTCTATCAATTTTTTGAAAATTAAAAACTTCAACTTTATTTCCAATATAATCCATTGCATAAATCTTATCGTCATACATTGCTAATGCAGTCCAAAGCCAGAGTCTTTTTTCATTAGCTTGTTTTTCTTGTTTTATTCTTAATCGTGCTGTTAATTTACCATCCTTTTAAAAAGATTAGATATTTTAGAAACCCAAAAAATGGCACATTTTTCAAAAAATATTTTTAATAAAGAGCTTTATATCCAAAAATTTTATTTTTCTCTTAAATTTTGTCTTTATTTTTAGAAATATTTTTATACAATTTCATCTAGGGAGATTTACAAATTTAGTTATCTACTGGATGAGAGAGAGTCTAAGGAATAATCACAATTTACTTTAGTATAAGACGATTTCTCAGCCCCAATGGTGATTTAAAGGTAAGCATTTTATTAATCCTATTATCAGTCCCACAATCGTTATTTTAATTCCTTCCAACTTTTTCCCCATATTTTAATAAAAGAGCAATTTCAAAATAATTTTTATAAAAAAATTACCAAATTAAACATCAACATTTCACGTCTCATCCTACTTGCAGCAATTAAAATAGCATTTCCATCTGGACCAGTAAGCATTTGTAAAGCACTTATTGACATTGTTGGATTAGATTCTAATGTGTTGTTAATTTCATTAAATGTTCGTAAAATTTGTCCATTTTGTACGGCAATTTGAAGAATCCCAGAAGGACAGGCAACTAATAAAGAACGGGTTTTTTGTTCTCCACCTCGTGCCAAAGATTGGCAATGTTGGTGAGACAAACGAATTGGTAAAGGAGAATTGGCAGGTTTTAGTTTGTTAGAAATGTTGAAAGCATCAATGCGAGCTTCAAATCTTCCCAGCGTATAAACCTAAATATTCTTAGGTCAAAATTAATCATATCGTTACTTTTCAAGGTTTTCGATTCATAAAAATTAGTAAAACAAAAGGTATTGAATAGAATTAGGTTCAATGTTTTTAGACAACCCTCATATGTTGGAGGGTTGCTTATATTAATTACGACTGCCCAGAGTTTAACGAAATTCTAAAGATTTATCTTGAATTTGAATGTATCTTATATTGGGGTATCTAAAAATGGGGTTCAATTTTATTGTGATTTTATCATACTAAAAAAGTAATCCAAATGGCCAACTCAACAGTAAATTAAGGCTCAAATAATAGATTAATTTTATAAAAATTTTACAATATTTCCTTCGACAACAATCTCTTTTGCAGGTCGCTCCAATATTTGTTCTGCCAAAACAATTCCTGTTTCCATATTACACATCTGTAAAAGTTTAAAGCTTGAATCCAGTACCACCGCAAAAGTAGAATTTAAAGGCCGGAGACGATAAATTGACATTGGCAGTTTCATTAAACGTACAACACTAACAAATAAATGCTTTTTATTGTGATATAAGCAGAAAAAAATCAGATTAAACAAATATTTTATGTCAATAATTATCATTGTAAAGTATTTAAAGCTAGTAAAGCTCTAGATAGATTTGGATTTTCATGTATACGTATCCTAGCCTCAGGCAATTTTGAACTTGCCGGGTTTTTCTCGACTCTCTATTTTAAACTAGTAAATATTATTAGCATCTTTAACATTTCAATTAAATAATTTAGTAACATAGTAATTTTTACTTTGTATCCAACGCCCTCAATTCAATCAGGCCATCAGCTTTAGCTAATAATAAACGTTCCTTCCATTCATTATCCAAAACTAATGAAAGCCCCATAAATTTAGACTCTCCATTAGACGGCCCAAACTCTGTGATCTTCTCAAGTAAATATTCATTAATTGAAGGCTCTTTAGTCGGAATATTTGGCAATGAATTATTTTTGGCATTCTGTATATTTTTAGAATTTTCTGGGATTATTGTAGAATTGGTTGTTGTTGTAGTAATTATAGGAGTAGTGGTTGTTCTGGGTAAGGGAAGGGCAATTCTGTGTTTTCCTTCGAGTAAGGAATCAGGCTGATCAGTTGCCAAAATTAAAAGGCTAATAATTGCTATTAATGCACTAATTAATAAAAGGGAAATTAAAAAATAACTTTGGGCTGAATTCATTTTTTATATTTTTTTAATAAATTTAGAAAATAAAATTTTAGTTTCTTTTATTTTTAAAATAAATTTACATTCCAAATATTTTTATTGGGTTAGTAAAACTACATAGATTTTATCTTAATAATTAAAAGCTTTTCATTTTCAATCAAGACAATGAGAAATTAAATAATAATGAACTGAAAAGGAAAATAGAAAATATTTAATCAAAATTAGGATATTTTGAAAATTTAAAAATTTTTAATGTTAGGAAGGTGGATTTTTTGAACATAGGGATAGAAAATAATTTCGCATTCTACCTTCAATTTTTATTTTATAGGTGTGGAGTTTTATAATTAAAACTTTTAATTTAAAGAATATTATGTGATACTCTGGGAGTTCAAAAATTTAAAAATGTTTCGGCTTTCGTTTTTCATTTTTTGATTTTCTAATGTTTCACTTTTTGGGAAAAAAAATTTTCAAGTTTCCAACATTAATTTTAAATTATGTCCAACACAGAATCTGTTTTTGTAAAATCCAAATAAAATAAAAATTAATTTTTAATTTTATTCGAATAAAACAAAATATATAAATGTGGCAACCAATAGCAAAAAAAAAAGAAAATAATAAAATAATATCTGTGAAGAAAATAAATGCGTAAATGTTTTTCAAAAATATTTTTTTTAATTTTCAAAAATTATGCGGAAAGAGGGAAAGTTAATTTATTGTAAACTCTCAAAATAATTAATTACTTACTTAATATTTTTTAGAAGCAGCTTTGGACCCCCATAAAATTTTTATGAAAGTTGCCAAGGCAGAGAATGAGGAAAAAAAATTTTTCACTGTTTTTCCAAAAAAATTTATTTGAATGTGTCTCCGCGAAAAATTCTTTTTCTGACTGCTAATACTAAAACAGAAACTTTTAGTAATAATCTTTGTTAAATAGCGTCAGTGAGAGAGTTTACAATAAAAAACCTCACGTAAATAGAAAAATTTCAGGCAAAAGATTTAATTACCAAAGTTTGGAATTTAAAAATAATTGAAAAGATCAAAAAATAATTTAATAAAATTATTTTGCAAACAAAAAGCTTAAATTTAAAACAAAATTATTTTGCAAACTTTTGGTAATAATGAAAAATAAAAATAAGAAATATTGAGTTAAAAATAAAAAATACTAACATTATTTTTATTTATGCTTAAGAGTGAAAATTAATTTAGAAGAAAGAAATACTAAAAATAAATAAAATTAAGTAAAATTAAATTATTATTTTTAAATTTAATTTTAAAATAATCAAAAAGGCATATGGACGGGGATTTTTTTCAAAATAATAAATTTCAAAAATAAATTAAAAAAATTTATAATTTTATAATTTATAATTTTAATTTATAATTTATAACGGATAAATTTCAAAAAAAAATTTAAATTCAAAATTAATTTTAAAATATCCAAAATGCCCTTTCCAATTTTTAATTAAATATTTTTTTTAAATTTTCAAGTTTATAGAAAAAATGTAGGCACTTAATTAGTTAAAAGAAAAATTTAAATTAAATTTAAAAAAAAATTAATTTATTTAATTTTTGGTGAAAATAACAAAGTTAGTTAATGATATAATAAAAATGAGATTGCATATAAATACAATAAAATATAGTGGAAATATAAATAAATAATGATCATTGTAAAGCAATGATCAAAATAAGGATTCGAAAGATTTTTTTGAAAATATTGAAGAAATTTTTAAAAAATTATTTTTATTTTTAGAGGGGGAGTGTATATCAGTGGTCTAGCTGTCATGAGAATTCAATTCCGATTTTCGGGAATCGGGTCGGCTAGATCCCTCGTGTATATTTAATTCTTGAAAAAAAATTTTTTGGAGGAGAGTCTAAGTGGAAAAAAATTTTTCTTTGATTTTCCCCACCAAGACAATATTAATATATTTCCTAGAAGCTACTAGACTTTATGTAAATTTTAAAAATTCCTTTCCAAAAAAAGATTAAAAACCAATTTAAAAATGCAAAGGCTTAAAAAAGAAAATTTTCGGCAGAAAAAAAGACAACATTTAAAATTAATTTTTAAGAGTTTTTTGGGATGAAAAGACAATTATAATATTATAAATAATTATGTGTTAAAGAAATCCCTGAAGAAAATTTGAGGCAAATGAGTGTATTCGATGAGGGTTTGGAAATGTTAAAGACAGCAAAATTAGGCTCTTTCGACGATATTATTGCTTAGGCAAAAATAAAAACCATATATGGCGGAAATAGTTAAAAATAAATAAAAGTGAGTGGAACAAGAAAAACGTTACAGAGTCAAAGTCTCAAAAAATGTCCCATATATTCAAAAATATAGTCAATTATTCCACTCACTTAAGTAAAAGACACGTTTATTGCTGGGTTTTAAAATTGAAAAGACTTCAATCTCAAAAAACAATTGCAAAAAAGAAATAATGGCGTCAGATGGGATTAGATGGGATATTTTGTCATTTTTCAACAAAATAATGCCAAATAAATTATTAATGTCACCAAGCTTCATTTTCTTCATCTTGAAAAGTATCTTTTGGTGGTGTTCCCTTCTTCTTTCCTCCCTTTTTCTGATTACCGCCACTTGATCCTCCACTTGTAGTTGTTCCAACAGAAGATTCTCTCAATGGCGTTCTTTCATCAACACCGCCGCCGCGTTTCTTAGCCTGCGGGGTGCTTTCCCTTTGCTTTGATGTTGCTTTTGTGTCAGTAACTTTCCGCTTGGCTTGCTGTGATGTCCCCTTTTGAATGCTAGTATTGCTGCTTTCATCCCCTTCCTCTTCTTCCTCATCTACTTCCTTTTCTTCATTCTCATCCCCTTCTGGTACTTTCATTGTTAATGGCTGTTCTTCATCTACTTCTGGTAAACCAGCTTCATTCATCCGTTGTAAACGGCCTTTGCTGTATTTCTTCCTGTCAAATGCACTATTGCCAAATGCTGACTCCCGTCCTACTTCCGCTGCCATATTTGGACAACGGCCTTTCATGCTGCCAACAATAGCTGTTGTACTGGGAATTGATCCCATTTCGAGTGTTGTAGCCGTTACTGGTGCTAAAATATTTGTAAAAATTTGAAAGAAAAATTAAAATTTAGAGATAAAGTAGGGTGACCAGTAAGATTGTTCATGTAAATAATACCCCAAGATTGGTACCTAAAGGAATTTATCCCCTGAAACTTAGCTGACAAAATTCGATATTTTAAAATTTTTAATATTCAAAGAGTTAAGCACCTGGAGATTTCGGTGTAGGAATTCCAGAAGAGGAGATTGACTTCCGGCCACCCATAGCGACAGTTGGTGCATCCGAGAAGGACATTGAAGGTGGAGTTGCAAAAGGTGCAGTTGGCATGACATGAGGATAAGTGTTGTTAAGTTTCCATCCGATAGGTGAGCCAAGCTATAATTAAAGATTTAAAAAAATTAAACAAATGTTAAAGTTAATATTTTAGAAAAAATTTTTAAAGTCCTAATTAGGAAGGTTCCCGAATATACCTAAGGATTGGAATGCGGTGATAAAACTGAAACAACGAAGACATCTTAAACAATCTGCAGTGAAGAAAAATCCTCAAAAAAATTCAACAGATAAAACTGAGCCTTCAACGAAAACGTCTTTCAAAGCAAAAGAGCATCATGAACCGGGGCCTCTTTCCTAAGCTATTCTACAGAAGAACCTCGGACTTATATCATGCAGAAAGTAGTAGTCCGAGAGTGAAAAAAGTAAGGGGGTCTAATCTAAGGGTATTATTTGGATTTAAAAGCAAACTAGACATAAGTCAACAAGGTTCAACTGTAAATTTATCAAAAATTAAAGCAACAACAAATATTGCAAAATTATTAGTAGCCATTGTCTTATAGCGTAATCAACAAAAATTCGATATAAATATTCAAGAACTCGGACCGTGATAAGGAAGAATAAAATTCAATTTACTAGAGGACTTGAAGGGCAGCGGACAAAATCTAAAAAATGATGAATACCAATCAAGAAAACCAAGCACAAAAAACATTCTATGAACGCTATTAGACAAGCTATATATTATAATATTAAAGGGTATATACAAAAAATTAGAGAGATATTATAAATCTGGGAATATATTAAAGGTTAAAATATTATGAGATGAAATTTTTAAAGGCAGATATATCCAAAAATATTTTTTTGTTGAATTTTTAAGAGGTAATAAAATTTTGGGTTAAGGCAAAAGTCTTTGGAGATGCTCCCAACCAATTCCTTTTCCTTTGTTGTACATAACGCTGACCTCTCTATTTTCCATTCCGTCGCCATTTTGAGGTGGTGGTGACATTGGATATGACGAATCATTCATTCCCAAAGAAGCGCGTTGTCGTCTTTTCTTCTCCAACCATCGTCCAAAAAGTGCTGTACAGAATGCACTTGCTACAACACGATCAGTATGGCATTTGATAAAGTAGAAGTAGAGAAGTTGGCCCATCTTAAATAAAAATTAGTTAATTAGTTGAGAATTTAGTCAAAAACAAAATGGATCCAAAAAATAGGTATATATAAATAGGGCTTGTGATTAAAGTTGGTCCCTGGCGAGGTGGATGGCCAAGAGGAAAGCTTTTCGGTGAGGAAGCGCCACAGAGAGGGGGGGGGACGGGAAATTTTTCTTTTTTTTCACGGGGGAATTTTCAAAAAAGCTATCAAATTCTCCGACTTTCGAGGACGGGATCAGTCCTACTTGTGATCTAGCTCAAAAAAGAGGAGGCCAAACTAATAGTATTAACTCAGAAAAATAATTTCCAAAAAATTCCAAACCCTTCAATATTTTTTGATCAAACTCTAAAACTCACTCTAAATTCTTCAGCAAATTTAATCATCATTGTAAGCTCAGCATCACTAAATCCATCAGCATTTAACCATTTCCTTGTAACCCATTTTCTACGTTGCCTTTTATTTCTCATCCGAATAGCCCATTCTACCCAGAAGAATAAATTGCCAACATTTATTAACGTTAAGAAGACAAGCATAACCCTGAAAAATGATTTAAAGTTAGCACTCAAATTTTTAAATTTTAAGAAACCTACCAAGTAAACAAAGCTGTCCTTTCATGCCAATTTGCATCCAAATAGCAACGATAGGTTAGCGTATGTGTGTTGCCGAGCGAAACAAAATGATAGTCACAATAAGTAATTCGAGGCACCAATGGAACGAGCATACTTCGATCTCTGTGTCCAGAAAACTCGAAGAATGGAGCAAGTGGATTTCCTTGCCTATAAAATGAAAACAGTTAATATTAGGTAAAAGTATTCAGATTTCGAGTTTATGTGCATCCTCAATTTTAAGTAAATTTTATTTGGTTTGGTTGGCCAATGGATCGGACAACTGGACCAACGGATCTATTTAGAATATACCGACCCTCAATAAGATTATGATTTTTCATCTCCGCTGACATGCAGAGGTGGGTCGGAACAGTCGGAGGTGTCGGAAATCGGAATTCCGACCCACCTCTGCTGATCTGAACCAAATAGAGGTCCAAATATATTAATTAGTTAACTTTCTGACTTCTCATTTGTTAAAAACTAATAAAAGTTAAACTTACCAATCTCTGCCTTCCCACCAAGCTCGCATAATGTCAAATCCCCAAGACCGATAATTTGCACCAATCATCAATGGAAGAACAAATAGTAACAAAATAAGTGGTGCCAATACAAGTGAAAATTCAAAGGCGAGAAAGGCGCCAAATGCTCTGAAAAATTATTTGAATTTTTATTTTTTAACGTTTGTATTGTTTAAAATTATTAACTAATTTACTTAAAAAATTATTTTTTAATTTCAAAAAATCCCCACCTTGAAGAATATGCCGTTCTAAAATTTTCAGCAACAACAGACAGCCTTTCCAACAAACGTTCTTCATCTACTTCAATAATTCCATCAGTTTCTACAGTAACCGATTGAGAAGCGCTAATTACGTTTGGGAAGTTGATACCTAAAAATGAGGGGAATTTTAAGTAAAAATGCTTCGAAATGTCAGTAATTTACCTTGATTTTCCATTAAAAGAGTCCATACAAAACGTGTCAGAACATACATAACAAAGACAATTGGTCCCCAAAACCAGAGAACCCATTCAGGGTTTTTAACTTCTCTCTGCGTTCTCCAAGAAGGGTCGAGAGAAAATTGTTCATTAACGCCAACATAATAGCGTTTTGCTGTTTCACAATGCCTTTTGGCATCGTCGTCTAATTGTGTTCCTTCAAAATTGTAAATTGAGGCACCGCGGCATGTGGACTCTTCGAGGGCGATTTTTGATCTAAAATAGATTAAATAGAGGAATTTTGTTTAGTTTGAAGGAGAGGTGGGTCGGAATTCCGATTTCTGACACCTCGGACTGTTCCGACCTCCTCTGGTTTAAAGGAAATTTTTTAAATTAAATTTATTAATAGGCCGAGGCCTCTGTAAGCAAAACTAAAATAAATATTAAAATAAAAGTTGTTATAATGTGGTACCTAAAAATTTAATTAAAATATTAATACTGAAAGGACAATAAATTGAAAAAAAATTTCCGTAAAAAATATTTTTTGAAGATATAATATATAAATCTAATTTTATAAAATTTTCAAATTGAAAATTTTTCACTAAGCTATTGGGTTCGATTACCGTAATTACTCGAAATGAGGAATGAGCTGAGATAAAAGATAGACTTGTACTAAAATTCTTTTCGGTAGACTAAAATTTAAAGGCCTCCTTTCAGGCTGAAACCCCAGGATTTTTATATGTAGAGCCAAGGAAAATTCTCATTCATAAGATTATCTTTTCAAAATTATAAACTTACAGTTTAGTTGTCCATAATACTGCAAATACAAACATGGTAAAGCCTGGAATTACCCATAAGTTGCCTTTGTCCATGCGATCCCCTACAAAATAAAAATATAAATTCCTCAAAAAATATTTTTTTAAATTATTCTTACCAATGCCATCCTTTAACAACGGCCTGGCGAGGGCTTTTAATTTGCCGCTGCCGCCTTTCCACAAATGATTTAAATATTCGCTTCCAAGCATTGTGGATCTGTTGTTACCATTCAATTAATTAATATAAATAAATTGAGATCTGAAAAAATAAAAAATAAAAAGTTTAATAATCAATAAAAAATAAAAAGGAACGCGTAAATAAAAAATAAATATTATAAATAATCCGAATGGGAACAAGACACAAAAATTGAAAAAAAAATAAAACACAAATAAAAATATTTATTTTGAGGTAAATTTGAGGTATTAGAGATAAACAGAAAAAATTTTGGAAGAAAAATGAAGTTTAGAAAATATCCGACAGTGGAGGGTATGGCTCGGGGATCTACATAGCTGGAAGCTGGAAGAAGTTGGAAGAAGCTGGCTTCGTGAGCTAGTTCTGAGAGCTAGATCCGAAGCTGGCTCCCAAAGCCGCAGCTAAGATATTTTGAAAAGGGATAGGAGCTGCAGCCACAAAACACCAATAGAACTGATACATGCTATTAGAGCTCAAAAATAGAAGGGAGAGTTTTAATCGTTAAGGATTTCATCATAAATTTCAAAATAAAATTTCAAAACTTGCAAAAGAAAAGAAAAAATTTTAGGAATAAAATGAAGTGTATAATAAAATACTCGAAAGTGCTGGTGTGGCTCCGGGAGCTAGTTCCGATGATGGATCCCGAAGACTGAGCTAAGGGTCGGAGCCAGGATTTTGAAAAGGATTGGTCGGATTTGGATCGACAAAAAACACCAATACCCAGCACTTATACTCGCTATTAGAGCTCAAAAATAGAGAGGAGAGTAAACTTAATAAATTTTACTAAAATATAAACCATCATCTTCCTCCTTTAAACCCTCCCAAAAAAATTATTTTTTAATCGGTTTCTCATAATAAAAATTAAAAGAAGACTTTATTTCTCCTAAATGCCCTTCCAATATTTATAACAATAAAATGTTTTAAAAAAAGTTTATAATAGTCATAAAATTTAGAAAAAAATTATGTTAGCAAGTAGAAAACGAAACTAATAAAAAAATTTTTTTCTTAAAAACCATTAACTGCGCAATCTTAACCAAAAAAGATTTTGTGGTTAACATCGTAAAATAATTTATGACAAAATTTGGAAAACTCTTTTAATTTTTAATATTCCTGTTTTTGAAATTAAATTTTGTTAAGATATAAAACAATAAAAAAGTAAAAAATGTTGTGGCCATCTCAAAAATTTTATTTTAACAAAAATTCGGGTTGTTTCGAGAAGGAATGTTTATGTAAGTATGACAATATTGGAGGAATGATAGGTGAGACTTTAAAAAAGGTAACCGAAAAATTTGAAAGGAATAATTAAAAGAAATTTTAGATTAAGAAATACTCTTGCATCATTGTAGAATAATTTATGGCAAGCTAAAATTCAGGGGAAGAACCCGAAAAATTTTTTAGTCTTTAAAAGAAATTAGGTAGTATATAAAATTTAGAAAAATTTATTATTGAAATTTGGAAGTTTTAATTTAATTCCCCTCAAAAAATTTAAATAAATAAGAAATTTAAAAATGCTTTATAAATGCTTGATTAGTAGAGAGTAATTAGAAGAGAAAAAAACAAGTTTAAAGGACAAAAATATTTTTTTTCTTCATTTTTTTAATAAAAACAATTTTTTCTGAAATTTTTTCCATTTTTTTTCTATACGAGCTACTCTAGCTAATCGTTAGCTGTATCCAAAATAATAATTTAAATTGTTTTTATTAGCCTCAAACAAATTAAATTAAAATAAAGACTAAAGGGTAAATAGGGGTAAAATTAAAAACATTTGAATAAACAAAAAATAAAATTGCGATAATCTCCTTTTTTAGATTTGTTTTTGTCGCCTTTTTTGATTGCCCAAAAATAATAATTGAAAAGGGGGTATGAGAAAGTGCTTATTACTAAATTAATTTTGAAATAATTTAAAAATAGACAAAATAAAAAGTCTAGCAAAATTAACTCATGTTAACGACAGGGATTTAAAATAAACTTTTTAATTTTGGCAAAAGTTTAAGGAAAATTCAAGAAACAAAAATTAATTTTGGTTAAAGAAAAAATTTAAATCCTCCAAAAAATAGCCTAAAAGAAATGCATATTATCTATAAGAGAGAATTTTTCAAAATAAAAGTTGCTAGTTTAAAACAGACCTGTGCATGGACACGGATATGGATACAGATAATATTAAGATGCCTGCGGATATGCGTCTGTATCCCCCGTATATATCCGGATACGAATACCAGAATTCGTGTCCATGGACAGGTCTGGATAAAAAAATGTCAAATTGAATGGTCAAATAAAAAATAGGGAGGTAATTGTTTAGTAATAAAAAAGTAAGAAGAAAAAAAAGTTAGTAATATTCTAACAATAACAAACAACAATATTCCCCCCTCAAACTCCCCCTATCCCCTCCCCCCTCCTTCCCACCTCAAACTTCCCTCCCCCCCTTAAAATTCAATTTGTTGACCACAAAAACATTGTTTGTTTATTTGATCTTTAATTTAATATTAAAAAGTTTCGGCAACGATTAAGCATCAAAAAAAGTAAAAATGAAGAGGGGAAAGGCAAATATTAAATTTTGTTAAAAAATATTTTTAACGAGGGAGAAAAATAAAATGAAGGGGGGAGGGGAAGGAAAAGCGCAATAGCTAAAAAGCAAATGCCCTTCCTCGCCTTTATGTCAAATAGCGCGGCTAAAGACGGTCAAATGACTGTCAAAAAATATTTTTCTTTAATAAAAATAAAATTTTGGGAAAAGAATAATAATGATGGAATTTAGACAATATGGCATCATTCCGGAAATTTGTTAAAATTTAATTGAGGGTGGAGAAATAAATAATTAAACTTTAAAAAGGGCAAAAGGATAAGCCATAATATTACAATAAATTATGCAAGTGTTATGAAAATAAAAAGTTTAAAGGATTGGGAAAAAAGTCAAAAGTGTAATCATGATCGCATAATAGACAAAAAATAGATAAAAAATAAAAATAGACAAAAAATGTTTCATAAAAAGGAAATTTTAAGGCAAAAATTAAGTTTAAAATAAAAATATTTTGAAGATTTTAGCTGCATAAGATAGGAAAGGTATGTAAATAGTAAAAGTTGTCAAATACAAAAAGAGATATAGATTTAATAGGAGTCAACATACAGAAACGGTTAAATCAGGAGGATATTTCTACAGCTACACTACTGGTTTCACGGCCTTCCGACAATGAGTCTTGGACTTGTCCTATTGAAAAGTTTTTGTTTTAGAACCAATGTAAATACAGAAGCTGTTTTTGTCACCGCAATCCCGATATGTCTCCCTATTATATTTAATACCCCCTTTTAAACAATCCCCCAACTAATTGACAGATCCCGAATAAATACATATAAATTTCAATCGTCTGGACAAATCAAAAAAGTAAAAGCAATAAAAAAAGAGCAAAACCAATCGACTATATTTCTATGAATCATTGCTTTTTTTAATTGTGAAGGCGGCGTGAAAATAAGCTTCAAAAAGGGTAAAAAAGCAAAATTGAAAAAGCGACGATTCAAATCGATCGCTATCCAATAAATAAATAAAGCTATTTGGCCAAATGAGTAGGTTGTTGTATTGCGAAATATTAAAAGGGGGGATAAGCGCCAAGTCAGAAGGCAGCAAAAACATTTATCCTTTCCTCCTTCCCCCAAAACAGCCGCTACTAAATATATAAAAATACTTTTATTTTTGCACTTTTTTAGCTTTTCTTTTGTCCTCCGGGGCTTTTTGCTTTTTAATTTTCTTTTCAATCACATACGTATTGTTGAGGAATTTTTGTTATTTTGTTAGAAAAATTGAAAAAAAAAATAAATTGTTGGGTGGTATCTCAGAAATGAAAAAAGGAAATAGAAAAAAAAATTTTTTTTAGTTTAGTATGTAATTGCGATGATTAAATATAGAAAAAATATAATTTTGAATGTAACGGGTTTATGACCAACAAAAATGAATTTTTAATTAAATTTTTAAAATAAAAAAATTAAATGAGAATTTAGATTATTTTAGTAAAATTAAAAAAATATAAAAAATTTTGTAATTAAAAAATTCTCCTAAAAGGTAAATTAAAAGAAATTTAGAAATAAAATATTTCAACATAAATGTATTTCGAAATTGGCTAGTCAGGGGATTTCAAAATAAAATTTTTTTTAGAAAATTTTGAAATATGGGAATGTCGAACTAAACAAAACAAGAAAACATAAAACTATATTAAATCGCGGTTTCAAAAGTTGAACCTAACTTTAAAATAGAAGAGAGCCAGTTTAAGATATGTTTTAGTAAGCTAGCGAGTTGGGCTACTCAAATCACTGACCTAACAAATAAGTGATATCTTTAATATGGGACACACCCAAGTAGGCGCGCTGCCATAATGGCGCAAAGCCCCAAAACTTGCTGGAAAATTTCGGGCTCTAATCAATTTTGATACCAATCTATTTAAATTGAGGAGAGGAATTGTTTAATACTAAATTTGGTAAGGTTCGGAAACTTTTAAGCAAGTTATAGCTTTTTTATGGCCGCGCGCCTACTTGGGTTGCACCCTTTAATATATGCAAATACCAAGAAATATCTAAAAATGAGGTTTTTGATCGAATTTTTCGAATTTTTATCGACTGTGCCGGATAATTCATAAAATAAAAACAAAACAAAAATAAATGAACATGGAACTAAAAATACAAAAAAATATATAGAAAAACGGAGAATTTAAATACTTAACAATTTTAGACTAAACTAGCAACAAAAATTTAAAATTAAAACTTGAAAAACTGCATTTAAACATAAAATATGCAAGGTTGTAAAAGCTATTGGGGAAAATCTTTTAAAAATTAAATAGATAAAAAATCGAATATATTGATTAAATGGGGGAATTAAATTTAAATAAAATTTAAATTAGCAAGGCTAATAAAATATAAAATAAATTACTCTCTTATTGAAATTGCAAATGTTTAATTTCTATTAATAAATTTAAAATTTAAAAAAATGGCTAAACAAATAATTTAGAAAAAATAAACCCCCCCCCCCCCCCCAAAATTTTTTTCCTTTAATAAAAAAGGAGGAAAGTATTCGCGCAACAAAAATAAACTAGCAACTATTTCATTGTTATGCAAAAAAAATTTTTTCTTTCCTTTTTGGAAGTTTTGAAATTATATTTTGAAATTTTTTATGATGAAATCCTCAACGATTAAAAAACTAAAAGCATTGTTGTATCAAAACAAGAAAAAATAATTTTGTTGAGTCGAGACGGCAATTATACAACAAATAATGGAGAAAAAAACATTTTTTTGTGGAAGAGGGTGGAGGAAATTTTTATGTATGTACAACCTATGATGACGAAATAATTTTTTGCAAAGAGGAATAATGAATGTGTGGGGGGAGAGAGGGAGAGAGGGGAGAATATAAAAAAGGAAAATGACTGGCGGAGAAAGGAACGCCGCCGCTCTCGACTGACTGCAAAGGGGCATTTAGGCATTTCGCAAGCGCGGGCTTATGAAATATTTAAAAGCTAGTCGCGCGGAGAAGAAAGAAAGGAAGGAACTTAAAAAGGGATTAAAAAACTTGGCAATAACATTGAGAATTTTTTCTAAAGTATTTTGAGAAAATAAAGGAAAACAAAAGAAAGAGCTTTATTGAGGGAAAAGCACTAGGCTTTATTAAGGGAGTTCAAAAGAAAAAAGAAAAAGCGTGAGCACAAGAGACATTTGAATAAAACGCAAAACATCGTGTGCTTGTTATCTAGATCGGAAAAAGACAATTCTCAAATTATAAACACCTTATTTTCTAGCCCCACTCTGAATTTGAATCGTCTTGAAATTGTGTCCCACCATGGAGGATAGCTGAGAAATAAAGCTACACGGTGTTTTATTATAGAAATTCGGTATTTTGCAAGTGAAAAAATAAGGAAAGTTTTTTTCAGGTTTGTCCAACAAACGGAATTTGTTAGACCAATAGACAGAATTAGATGCTCAAATTTCAAATACACAGAATTTCCAATTTTTCCTTTCGATTTTTACATTTTCATTGAAATACTATAATGTATGTACGAATTCGTATGAAATGTATGAATTCGTACGAATTTAAATTACAAAAAATTGAAATTCTAGCTTGGTCAGAATTTTAAATAAGACAAAAAAACCTTTAAAATTTTGGGCATAAAATTTTATTATTTTATTAAGAAATTGGATTACAAATCGATTGTTTGGTTTTTTTGCTTCTGCGCAGTGGACATTACTCTCCCTTCACTAAAAAAAATTGCCGCCATCTACCCATTCTTGCAAAAATTGATGACCCATAGAAGGACGATGACATTCTGAGCTTTTGGCAAAAAAGTCTAGAGAGACTATAAGGAATAAGAAAAATACAAAAAAAGGAAGAAAATAATGATGAGAATGAAAAAAAAGATGAAAAGAGGGTCTGAGGTAAAAATAATTTTTGTGTTGTGTTCGTTTTTGGAGAGAAAATGGATGGTTTCTCTCCTCTATTTTTTTTTTCAATTTTCTTCACAGTGGGTGTCGCGCAGCAGCAAAAATTGCGCTGGGGAAGATGTTCAGTAGGCTAATAGAAAATTGTGGGGAGGGAGGGGGGGGAGAGGGGGGGAGGGGGTCTGAAAAATTTTTTAATCTAAAAAATATATTTCCAACATTTTTGATGCTTTTTGGATTAAAATTAATAAAATAGGAAAAGGAGATTAATCTTTGTAATAAAAGAAACTATCGTGATTTTTAATTTTCTTTTGGGTTTTTTCCAAGATATCGGAGAAATAAAATATTGTTTTTCTAATCTTAATACTTTTGCTGAATCGCTAAATTAATTAAAAACTCCCACAGGTGTTCTTTAATTAATTTTTCTTCTTCTAAATTTGTTTAGCAAGTGAATGATTTGTGAGGGATAAAAACAACCAAAAAGAGTGAAAAAGGAGGAGGTTGTTGCCGATCAACGAGGACAACCAAATGATATTGCCTATAGTAAAAAGATTAATGACACTTGGTCAATAGTCATCAATTCTGTCTTTAATTGATTAAAAGGAGGATTAAAATGTGAAGGGAAACGAAAAAAGTATTTTATAGGGCTAGAGGATTGATCAAAAAATAATTAAAGAATAGGAGCTACTTATACATAGTTCTTAAATAGGGCCTCAGGTTAAATCTTGGTAATACCAAGGCTGGTCCCCCTTTTTTTGTTCTATTTTCTATGACTAATTATATCCATTCGAAAGAGCTCTACGAGCTGAGTCGAACTGTACTAAAATAATCGAAATCCAACTTAAATCAACATAGTTATACCACGGAGGATTTAGCTTCATTATTTTGTTCAGAATCACCAAATCTAACCGATCGTAGTATCATTCTACCCAGCTCGGGCAGCTCTTTCGAATGATATATAATAAATTGTATAACAAGCAAAAAAGCTCAAAATGGTCAGGGAAACAGAAAAAAGGGGGGCAGCCTTGGTATTACCTAAATCTTTATTCAAATGCAGTTTTGGGAACTTTAACGAAGAAAATAAAAATAGGTATATAAATTTGCTTTAGGTCATTGGTTCTAAAGGTGGAAAATATGAGTAGAAGGTAAAAAAGGACGAAGAAAAAATGAGAGGAATAGGAACGCCATTCTGGCGAACAGAACTAAAAGATTAAAACCTCAATTTTAGTCTAGTTGAGGAAAAATCTTCTATTTCCCAATTTTCTCGACTCAATTGGATGTATTGATCCTTTGGGGGGAACGGAGTTGAGGGACAGGAATTTTGCAGGTAAGGGAATTGGAGTGTTCACATTTGCATTTGAGGTAGAGGAAAAAGCTTTTGAAGGAAGGTCAATAGTATAAAGAATGGAGGGAACAGAAACAAATGCCAAAATAATGGTAAAATGAGGGAATGTTTGGAGGGGGGGGAGGAGGATTTGGATTATATTTTATTTTTCTTAGCGACTGAGAGATTTACGATCGAATGAGAATAGTGAAAGGGAGAGAGAAGTTACTGATCAAAATATGGATATAAAGCATAGTTAATTTAATAAAGTTGGGAAGGATAAAATAAATTGTGAGAAAGTCGGTCCTTTTCAAGATTTTGATGTTTTGAAGTTGAGTAAACCTGATGCATTTGAGGAGGTCCTTTTAAGCTATTAAATTTACTCAAGAATCCGGGAACAGTTAAAATAATAGATAAAACTTTGAGATAGTAGATCAACTTGTTCTCTAAGCAAATTAATATCAGGTTCAAAGGCTCTCAAGGTTAATTTTTAGAAGATTTATATTTCTTATCTGATTACTCATATACCTAAATATCCCTCAAAAATAGAAAAGAAAGTCCCTTTATCTTACAAACAATATTTATTACCTTAAATAGGACATCAGTAAAAATGGGACTTTAAGCAAAAAAACATTGGTTGTTGTCATTTGTTATGGGAAAATGTAATATATTATTCGTGCGAAAGGTGAGGAACGGAAATAAGGGTGGACAACAACAAAACCAGAGATGGAATTGATGAGGCGGGGAATTGAAGGTGAAAAATGTGAAAGGGGAGAAAGGAGGGAAACGAAAAAAGGCCGACAGATCTGTACAGCCTGATAGAACGATCAGTTTTCTTTAAACATCGAAGAAATTGTGCAGAAAGAATTGGAGGGGGGATATTTTTGTTTTGGGATAAAATGGAAGGATAAATAATAAATGAGGTAGAAATGTTTAAAGTAGAAAAGTTTAAGAGAAGAGGGAAAGGCGGAAAAGTTGAAAAACTTTTTTTTTACCTTCTGTTCAATCTTGGAAATTATCCAAGAGAATGAGGGGGGAATAATATT